GGAGCGGTTTCTAAAAGCTCTGTTCTAGTAAACCATCTGTCGTCCTCTGGCTCCCGATATGTGAACCTGACTTTATATTGCTTCTGGGGACGACCTCGCCCTCCGGTTCTGAACACGTCCTCTTCCACTATGCGATATATATCATACACACCATCCATATCCGGCGGAATCATTGACCTTCGCAAAAGAAATTTGTCGCTGGTGGTGCACGACAGTAGCTTTGACGCATGGAAGACTGGGTATGTGTTGAGATGCGCTGGAATCTCTATGGTGTATGATGGTCCGTCCTCTCTTCCTTTGACCTCTAGGACGGGCCATGGTCCTATGTACGCAGGTAAGAGTTTTTGCGAGATGTTCTCCTTGGGTGCGGACTGTTTAGACTTGACCCAGACTAAGTCACCTACCTGAAACTGTGAAGGTCAGCGGTGCTTGTTAGCTTGCTCAATCATACGATGCTGGGCCTTCCTCACGTTCTCAATCACCTTAGCAACTTGTTCCTCATGCTGCAATGCAAACTCTCGGGTGTCGGGCGGTAATTTTTGTATCTGATCCCGGTTTAGTCCTTCAAACGGTCTCCTTGGTCTAAAGGACTTATGCAGCTCGTTAGGGGTCCTACAGGTAGCTAGATGAACACTATTGTTATAGGCGCTTGCTAGCTTATGGAGCATCTCATCCCACTTCACCTGATTCGATCTAATATACATTCTGAGTAGCTGCTGCAAGATCTTATTCATCTGTTCTGTCTGGCCGTTTGTCTTTGGGTGTCGTCCTGACGACATCAACAACTTAGACCCATAGACTTTCATAAGATCCTGCCAATTATGGCTGGTAAACCATGTGTCCTTATCACTAACTATGGACAACGGTAGACCGTCTCGCTTACCCAGAAATCAAAAAACTTTTCTATAACTAAATCGGTGCATGCCTCTGAAGGCAAGGATGCAAAAATTGCATAGTTACTAAATCGATCTACTATGACCATAACCTGACTTTTGCCATACCTACTTACCCCAGTATCCATAAAGTCGATGGAAACTGACTCTCCGGGCCCTGATGGAATAGGCAGGGGTCTGAGAAGACCTAATGGTGTTGTAGTCGTTGTCTTATTGCGCTGGCAAACTTTACAGTTGCGCACATATTCTATGCAGTCCGCTTTCATGTATGGTCATGTGTAGGACATCATCAAATTAGCTAAAGTTTTTTGTCTGGCATTCCCCCAGGATCAGACTATGGATCGCTTCACTATTGGGAACGCACAGTCTGTCAATGACATTGGTCTTCTCAAACAATAGTCCGTTCGTGGTTCGATAATGCGGCTTGCTATCAGGGGCTTCCCTTACTCTCTTCAACAACTCACTATAGATCGAGTCTTGTGCATATGCATCTTTGATCTCTTGCTGCAGATCGGCCCCTATGTCTAGATAGTGTACTATCGCTCCTAACCATACCTTATGCTTTGATCTAAAGGCTAGTCATGTGGAGTATTCGGAGCTCTGTGTGAAGAGTGCACAGTGATACTAGGTGCAACATATAGACAGTGGCTTCGCTTTGAAATGTTTGAATACAGTGTAAGTATACGCAGATCGACGACGAGGTTCCATTGCAGATGGAAACCAATGTTTCCCCTGAGTGAATTTCCTCACCAGTGATACCCTTCGAATTAATTGAAACTATGACCACTCAGTAGTGCTCATGTGCCATCCGTACAGATCTGGTCATCTGTAGTGGACCAACTTGCTTACTAAGAGAAGCTCACTTTGGATGGAAAGCAACAATTTATATGAATTGGGATCGTTATTAATGGCCTTCTAGGCACTCTGTTTCTAGAGGGACTATAATCGTATCTCTTTGTATAGGTTTCATAATAATAGGAGACATCACTACCTCTTGTTTGTGTGTCTCCTGAATGGGGTAAGCTGTCTGCCATAACCTGAGTATCATTCAAGCTTGCCAGATTTCCAGTGGCACTTCCGGCCAGTATTGAGTAAGGAGGTTGTGATTGGTATGATTATGAAACCGTCCTTAATCTCTCGTATTGTACTCGCTTAAGAAAGATTGATGACACATAACTTTTCTTGGTTGAGGGAGCAAGAAGAAGAACCTTGCAAGAAAACTCCAATCGTGGGAGAGAAAATGAGACTGTGTAACCAAGGGAGCTTAATGAAGCTCTACACTCTCTATCTAGGCAAGGCAAAAGAGACCACTTAGAATGGTTACAATTTTTGGAAATGTTATTACTAACTCCTACTTCCAGGTTACTCGGTAAATTAGTAAGGAAACATATAATTCAAGACTTGGGGCAGTTGTTTCCTATCCATCCAAGGACTATCAAGCTACAAACCGCCTCTATTCTTTCTTCATTGCCCAACTTTCATCAAAATTCAACTCCTGAAGTAAGAAAAAGTGATCATGAAGGATGGAGAAGTCATAGTAGTGAAAAGCGAGATTCATAAAAATAAATATAAGAAGTGGGAGATGGAAGCTAGCCAAAGAATGGAGTTTCAAAAATCGGTCCGGAGAGAGAGTGCGGTCCAGAAAATAGAGAAGGAAAAATACATCGAGTACGTGTTCTATTTTCAAGATCAAAATGGCAAATTGCACAGTATAGGCTCCTCACTAGAAATTGTTGAGCAAGCCAGAGTAAAGCTCATGTGAAAATGAGTGACGTCAGTCTGACTCCTTTAAAGACTTCATTCTTGACTCCTCAAGTGAGCGTTACACAATACTTTAACTCTCACCCATTTTTCAGACATTCGAAGACCAGTTACATAGCAACTTTCAACCATTCATAAAAAAACACCATCTGTGATGCTTAGTGAAGTTCCTTCATTGTTCAACTGTTGCATAGATCAACTTCAGGCAAGCAAACATCAGAGACATTCGGGCCAGCATTAGTATCTATCTCTGCACATGAGTGTAATTCAGTCATTCCTAGTCAACGAGTCGGTCTTGACCGGTCTCAACAAGATAGCTCTCAAGGATGCTTTTCGGTATCGGTATGTTAATGCAGTCGGTTTCAAACAAGAAGATCTATCAATTTTCGTCGTTCTCACTGAGTTTGCAGAAGGTACCATTCATGACCTGAGGATCTATGTAAAGAAGGGCAAAGAAATCCATTAGCATTTTGATTATGTATGGATCTCAACAGCCAAATATCTTGAAGAGAGAGAACGAGATCTTGATGAGAGTGGCACTAAGCTGATCCGAAGCTTTGGACCCAAACCCTACACTGACTACCCCTGGCCACCAGTTTCTTTCCCCCTTACAGATGGCTCTTGTTGGGGTGACTTGGTAGACCTGGCCAAGAGGTATATCTCTCCTACAAAGATTGACTATGAGGCAGTGACTGAACCGCCACAGTTCCAACATCTAAGACGAGGGATCTTCTCCCAGCCTTATCTCCTTACACTATGGGAGGAGTTCCGTGCTATGGTCGACTCCCGCATCTTTGGTCTTTGATAGCTGTGGAGCAGGAGGATAGAGGAGTGGACCGGGGCGAGAGTTATCGAGGCACGTAGGAGGTGGAGAAGACGGGAGCCACTGCTGGTTGGGAATATTGACCCTGATCTTGGGTGCTCTGTCTCTGTCTCTATCTTTCTTTTGGTCTCTCTTCTTCACTGTAACTTGGGAATATTGATCTGACCTTGATCCTGATCTCGATTGGTAGATTCCATGCGAGGTCTGTGTGTGTGTGTGTGTGTGTGTGTGTGTGTGTGTGTGTGTGTGTGTGTGTGTGTGTGTGTGTGTGTGT